TCTTATAATGAAAGAGACCTAGCTGCAGGCAACTTTGAGTTCTTTGATTTTTTGAATGAATCTCGACCTGAAGAGAATTCCTTATATAACAAAAGAATACTGAAAATAGTGTTTACATTCTTTTAACATGAATGACTGTATTCCTAGAGAGTATAACTGTAATCAGAGGATCAAATCAGGCAGGTGATGGAGTGTAATGTAGCTCAGTGTGGGAGTGCTTGCCTAGACTGTGTAGACCCTGGGGATGCAGGACCTAGAAAGAAGGAAGGAAGGAAGGAAGGAAGGAAGGAAGGAAGGAAGGAAGGAAGGAAGGAAAAAGAGAAGAAAGGAAGGAGAGAGGAGAAAGGAGAGGGAGAGAAGAAAGAAAAAAGAATGAATGAAAGAAAGAGAAAGAGGAGGGAGGGAGGAAGAAAAGAAGGGAGGGAGAGAGAAGAGGGGAGGGGAGGGAGGAAGGAAGAAGGAAAGAAAGAAAAACAGGAGGGAGGAAGAGAAGGGAGGAGGGGAGGGAGAGCAGGAGGGAGGGGAAGACAAAATGGCAGACAGACAGTTCTGTTTAAACATACTGTAATGATCCCGGCCAATAGTCTCAGCCCTTGAATAGGATTACAAGGTCAAGGTCCCCTTGAGCTGTATAGTGCATCCTTATCTCAGAAAAGAAACTGTTTACAATATTCCTGTGAGTCAAACGAAGTTCTCAGACTCTTCTGACCACCACTCATTGTAGATCCCTCTTGAACTGGGAAAGGAAGGAAATGTTGATGTCCCTGCCGCGGTGCACACAGAGTGCCTGAGCTGAGCACTCTCTGATGTCAATGTCCCTGTCGTGTATGGAGTGCAGGAGTGCAGGAGTGCAAGGGTCACTCCATCACCACCACCATAGAGTTGGAGTGAGGAAGGACTGACCTTCCCAGGGATGGGCTAATGCTAGATGACAAACTTCTCAGAGGGTAGAAGTCATGAGGTAGAGCCTGCAAGTTAGCATGGGATGGAAGTCATGTTCTAATTCATTTGGTGAATGTGGAAGCCCCTACACTCAAGCATACTACTGACATAGTAGCAGGCCACAAGAGGAAGAAGTGTTGGAAGATAACCAGCCTCCTATTGGTCACAGAAAACAATACCATGCAGAATTTATCTTTCTTGAAGTGGGGGAGTTCCCCGATGACTTAGCCTAGTATAATACTTCTGTCCAGTACTTAAAAGAGGAATGTCTCTTTCTATACCCCCACACACTTTCATCAGAGTTACGAGAGTGACTTGAGTTTTGCATGGACACCCTATTGTTGGTGATAGGTTCGCTTATTCAGCCATTGCGAACAGTTTAACGTCAGTGCCCCATTGAGGGATCACATGTTAACTTCCGCTGTCTTTCGTTTCCTTTCCATCTCTGTCTGACAGAATTATACGAAGTATCCATTTCAATTCTATATATTGACCCAAAAGCTAACACAGTGCCTGAAGTATAAGTATCTTCCCCAGGGCTTGGGGGGATGAGGATAGTCCAGTCAAACAACAGCACGTCAGCAATCTACTTACTGTGCCGGAGCACAGTTTCCTGGAGAGTCAGGAAACTGAGACAGAACGAGCATTTGCCATGAGGATCCGAAGTTATACTAAAATCTTTGGGTGTGGCGAATCAAGGAGGATCTTTTTAATGCAGAGTGCCAATGTAGTTTGCACATCAGGAACACGGTTGGCGGAGGGTCTAGGGTTTGGATTTGAAACTCAAGAGAGAAGCAAGGTAGAAAGCTACAGCAATAGTCCAGACAAGAAATAATAAGGCAGTGAACTAAGGCAGGGTCAGGGTCCTGAGAAATGGAGGTCGGAGGTACTCCAGGGCTGAGAGTCGCAGGGATTTGTCTTGATTGAAGGTGAGAAAGATAAAGACTCTGGTATAGAGTGCTGGTGGGCGGTGACCTCGTGCGCTCAGGACTCTGGTGTAGAGTGCTAGTTGGCAGTGGTAGTATGAGCCCAGGACTCCCGGTGTAGAGCGCTGGTGGGCTGGTGGTGGCATGCGCCCAGTTTAGGGAAATGAGAGGACCTTATGAGGGAGGAAAATGAGCTTTGCTTTTCAAGTATGAAGTTCGGGGAGTACCGGAACCTTTCCGGTGGTACTCAGAATGAAAGGTCTAGAACTCTGTGTGGGCAAGAGCTGGAAATTGGACACATGCTCAAAGAACTGACCTAAAGAGAAGGATGGGGTAGCCGCGTCTCACCGTGCATTATGTTTTCAGCACTGTGAGCATCCTCTTTGTCGTAATTCATCAAGGGATTACTTTTAATAACTGCTAAAATCTCATTGTGTGGCTATATCAAAACTCATGCAGTTATTTAGTTATTAATAGATGTTTAAGTCGCTCTGATTTTTTTTGTCCACATCTCTAACCAGCTAATGTTCATCAAGATATTATTCATAGATATGAAATTGCCTGACTAAATGATATAAAGTGTTGAAAACGCATATTACCGTTAAAGGTGCTATAGGAAACGCCACAAGCATAAAAGGAACTTGCCCGCTGCTCAGTGGAGTTTCAGAAATTGAGAATCACAAAGGAGGAGCATAAACATTGTTCATACGCAAGGATGTATATCATGAAAACGAGGAGTGTGCATTCAGTAAACCAAAAGATTCAAAAAGTTACATATGGCTTCCCTATGATAGAATGATGTGGGGGATACAGGCTTTATTAGAGAAATGTATTGCAGTGAGAGGTTCTTGTTTTGGTTACATCTTCTATTTGTTTTGTTTGTTCATGTTTGTTTGTTTGTTTCAGCTTTTTGAGTCAGTATACCCCTAGGTAGCCCAGGCTAGCCTCAGATTCATGAACTCCTTCCCTTGGCCTTCTGAGTAATAGGAGTTGTAGGGATAATATTTTGTACTTGGTGTTCTGTGTGGAAGCATCACCTGTCAATAAAAATCGATAGCCAATAAATAAGCTGAGACAGGATTAGAAGGCGGGACATCCAGCAGAAAGAGAGGAACTCTGGGAAAGAGTCAGGCATGGGAATTTTGCCACCTGGACTGGGAGGAATTCAGACATATTAAACTGAGGAGAGGTAACTAGCCATGTGACAGACGTAGAATAGTATAAATGGGTTTATATGCATTGTGAGGTAGTCAGGGAACAAGCCTAACTTACAGCCTAGGCATTTATTAATAAAATATAGCCTCTGAATTGTTATTTGGGAACTGGGTCATAGGTAGAAAAGCCCACAGTTACAGGGAGTACCAGAGTCATCCACCATGGCTATTCTGAGAAACTGGTTTTTTTTTTTTGGTTTTTTTTTTTTTTTTTTTTTTTGGTGGTAGTGGGAGATAAATAGGTCAGAACAGATAACAGTCTTGAACAAAGTTCATCAGGGCTCTGGGCGTGGTATCGATTCTTGTTTTCTTTCCACTGATGAATCTTCCTTTTGAGATCTTAGGGAAGGTCTGGAAGAACTTCCCTCATTCAGATAAGAATACTTCAGAGGGAACCCTGTGTGGCTTTCTGGGGCTCTGAGAGGCAGGGACAGGAAGTCTGAGACACCTGGCTCTGAAGTTGCCGATTCAATACTTAGGTCATTTTCTGGACCCCAGCACAGCCACACAAAGTCACTAACTTCTCAGCGTAACAACACACTTGGTTGTTCTCTGGTTCTCATTCACATATGTACACACATCCATGTGTGGCCACCTACACAAATACACACATATAATATTTGTTCACTTTTTAATAATGGGATCTTTGTTTGATTTTGGTGTGTGTGTATGTTGGCTGGTTGGTTTTGAGTGCCATTCTGAAACTACTTGCTCTGGGTTGTAAAATTATATATTCATAGTATCAAAATACAGAATTGGGGGTGAATCATATTTAGGTTTTCAACCTTCACAAAAACCGTGTAGTTGTCTCATTTTGGCCTGTTTTGACTATAGTTTTCTTTGTTGGTTCTTGTTTTTCACCAAAAGTTTAGCTGGCGGGGCTGGATGGCTCAGTGGTTAAGAGCATTGGCTGCTCTTCCAGAGATCCTGAATTTAATTCCTAGCAACCACATGGTGGCTCACAACCATCTGTAATGGGATCTGGTGCTCTTTTCTGGTGCACATGAAGATAATGTACTCATATACATATTATAAATAAATAAATAAATAAATAAATAAATAAATCTTAAAAAGAAAGTTCAGCTGTGTGTGTGGCACAACCTTTGCAAAAGCTAAAGAATCATAAGCAAAATAAGCAAAATGCAATAATGAATGAAAACATAGTAACAGTGACATGTTTTAAGTGTTTACTGTATGCTGGGCTTTGTCCAAAGTACTTAGCATGTATGAAGTTATAAGGAAACTGTGTCCAGAGAATTCAAGTGTTCTGCTTATAGTAGAACTAAAATCTGCATCTGATCCAAAGTCTGCACCTTATCCTTCTGTTTCCAATATCATTGTGATCGGTCCTGTTAATTCCTTCCCAGAGGATCCCTTATAAAAACATGTCAGTCATAATTGTATTCCATATTAATGTCAGTAAGTCTCATAAGTGAGAAACATCATCGGACCTGGCAAAACATACTGCTTTTCATATACTAACAGTCACTACATCTGCCTTGCATGCCAAGGGGTCTTCATTATACGGGCATCTAATACGTTACAAAAATTCCTGTTAGACATGTTGGCTTGATGTGGCAGGATTTGGTGCTTTGTTCAGCCACCACGGGAGAAAAACATTTCTTATACCTGTTCGTTATTACGGTTAAAAATCCTTAAGTTCTCAATAGAGCCTGAGGAAATTTTACCCGTTGTTATGATTGGTATGGGGTTACTAGTGAAGCACGAAAAACACTTGTAAAACAGAAACTTTATTACAGTCTGGTTTACACATCATAAAGTTTGCCTCATCTTCGGATCTTTACAGAGTAATAAAACTGACTTTTGAGTTATTTTAGTTACATGAAAAAAAATAGATACCTTTGAAAGAAGAGAGCTACAGAGCTTTGCTGTTCTTTTCTCCCCCCCCCCCCCCCAGAAATGTGTGCTCTACTGGCCAGAAAAGAGAGGGATTTACGGCAAGGTGGAGGTTCTGGTCATCGGCGTGAGTGAGTGTGATAACTACACCATCCGCAACCTCGTCTTAAAGGTAAGGTCATCGGCTGTTGCCATCTCATAGTAAGTGAGGACAGGGTTACATTTCTCCTTTCGTAAGTCCTAACAGATTCAGTGTAGACAAGCGAGACAATACTGAGTGCAAAGACAAGCTACCGACATTCCTTGTTGTCTGACACTATTAGCCTGTGAAGTGACTGAACGGATGTAAGTGGGCATTAAGGAAGCTCACTTTGCAGGACGTTGGGGGTTCAGCTACTTTTCACTTAGAGAACATTTCTGACTTAGCCTTCGGAAGGTCCTTAACTATAGGCTTATGAAGGAGACCTCACTGGGACCTTTATGCTAACATCGTTATGGTCTAAGCAGCTTTAAGTGGGGTCTGAGCACCGTTGAAGGGAAAGTCTACACTGTTATATGGCTGTGCATAGCAAGATGAGCCTGCGGCGCTCATGCAATCTTAAAAAACTTAGCATTAGTGGTTATTCACAGGGACAATCCTAGACCAGCTTTAGTCTTAGAAATGTAGTCTTACCTAACTCATGAGGCAGCAGATGCTAGCCAATGTTGCCATGGAGCAGCAGATGCTAGCCAGCATTGCCATGGGGCAGCAGATGCTAACCAGTGTTGCCATAGGGCAGGGGATGCTAGCCAGTGTTGCCATGGGGCAGGGGATGCTAGCCAGTGTTGCCATGGGTCAGCGGATGCTAGCCAGTGTTGCCATGGGTCAGCAGATGCTAACCAGTGTTGCCATGGGGCAGTGGGTGCTAGCCAGCGTTGCCATTGTATTATTTTTACTTTTAAAGAATAACCTATCTCAGGACCTCAGTCCTATCAGCAGCCTACTCCTGGGATAGAAGCATCATGAAGAAGAGAGTGAAGGCAGGGCCCGAGGATGGTCTTTAATTCAAAAGTGTAGCAGAGGAAGGCTCTTCAGAAACCTACTGTTAAACACATGCCTGATCAGAAATAGGCCTCCCACCAGGGCTGCGGGTATTGAGATGATGTGTGAGCCTCTGCTCAAAGTGTACCCTCGCCAGGGATTGCACATAGTTCCTTTACTGCTAGGGATCCTCAGTGTTAAATCGTTTGAGATATGCATAGAACTATTCTGACCAGGTATCAAGCAAACCCTCACATATTTGCTAATATGTTTATACATAATCTGTTAAGACTTAGAGACCAGGAAACACAATCTAACCTTTTCTTTCTGGTTATATTTTCACCTTTAATCCCATCACTCAGGAGGCAGAGGCTGTGAGTTCAAGGTCATCCTGGTCTTACATAGTGAGTTCCAGACCAGTCAGGGCTACATAGTAAGACCCTGTCCCAAGCAGCAGCAACATTTCAGCTACTAAAATGTATTATAAAGATACACTCAGTGTATAGTGGTATGTGTGTGATCTGTAATCTCTATGATGGATACAGATACAGACCTGGATTCTTAGAGGGAGGACACTCAGCTTCCCTGTCAGGCCAGGGTACTCATAGTCAAACTTTCTCAAGGTGAAAGGGTATTTTTGAAAAGCGTCTAGATTTTTTTTTTCTTACCCAGAAGTTAGCTGCCAGCAAGAAGGGGGCCAGAGAAGACACTTAGTGCTGTAGCGTAGACGTCTTTTACTCCCACACGTGAGTAAGTCATTTGGTGGTTGTTGCTATTTCCAGCAAGGAAGTCACACCCAACATGTGAAGCATTACTGGTACACTTCATGGCCCGATCACAAGACTCCAGACAGTGCCCAGCCCCTTCTGCAGCTCATGCTGGACGTAGAAGAAGACAGACTGGCCTCTGAAGGCCGAGGGCCTGTGGTTGTCCACTGCAGGTAAGGCACACACTGATCCTCCCGTCAAACCGCTGTCTGCTCTTCTATTACAGAACAGATAGAAGCAGGACGTAGCTTCCGGAATGTAACTTGGTAGTAAATTATATATTGATTAAAAATGAATTAATACCCTAAGACTTAATCAAAATGATAGTGACAGAAATGAATCAGAGCTTTGGGGACTTTTTTTTTTTTTTAAGCAGACAGCAAATGGATTTCAAGTTCTAAGTAAATGTCTAAGTGAGCAGGAGATCTTACCTCATCTTCTGACTTGAAACTCAATTTTTGTTCATTTTTCTCTCTTTGGTCGCATATATAGTAAGAACTGCAGATAGCTTTAGTTATTGGTAGATTGTTGTTGTTGTTGTTGTTTTAAGAGACTACCTGAACTATGTCTTGGCAGCATTTATTATTATGGCATATTTGGTGGAACACTTAACCATTTTTCAGAGATATCTCATGAAAATGAGAATGTACGAGGTGGGGAACGGATGACTGGACATTCACATTAAGGAAGACAAAGTACACACAGGGTGTGGAGGCTGTTAGATGAGGTGACAGCAATGGCAGTCCACAGGGTTCTCTTCCCTGTGCCTATGTTGAAGTTTACCTCCCATAACTGGCCTTTCTCCTTGCTTTCCTTTTCATGTGACCAAAGCAGGTAATTTACATTCATTTCCAGGACGGGCCGAGAGTCCTATATTTTTTCCAAAATAACTGATGTTGATGTTTAACTTTCCAAGTATCCTAAGAAAGGGCTTGACAAAATATGTGATTTTAGATTTATCTTGTTCTCTTTCTCTATTGAAACTTTGTAGATTAATGAAAAGATTTTTTTTATTAATTTTTTAAAGATTTGTTTATTGTATGTATATAGGGACATTATTGCTCTTGTCAGACACACCAGAAGAGGGCATCAGATGTTATTACAGATGGTTGTGAGCCACCATGTGGTTGCTGGGAATTGAACTCAGGGCCCCTGGAAGAGCAGTCAGTGCTCTTAATGACTGAGCCATCTCTTCAGCCCAATTAAAAGTTTTCTAATTAAAAAAAAATATAAGCCTACTTTCTAGAATTAGACTTTATCCTAAACCCTTGGAGCTAAAGAGGAAGCAACTAGTTGGGCATAGTTTAGGGCTGGAGCTCTCTCCCACCCAAAGTCATTAAACAGTAAGGATATGTAAGCTGAAAGAGGCACTTCCCCTATACAATCAAGGCCCTCTCTGATTACTGCTTCTAAGAACGTGGCCTCCCTTTGTTCCTTCCACTCTGCATCCAATGTTGACAGTTATCTTTGGCCCTTCTTACAGCTCTACTTGCAGTATCTAATCAGTTAGCAGATTGGCTTTCCCTTCAAAGCTTCTCCCGTAATCACACTTCCTGGCTGTCCGCCCTAGTCAGGGCCCTTATGACCTCATCCATGTAGTTTAGAAGTACTTGACTAATTGCACACACATACCCTTCTCCCTCGGGCCACTCTGGTATAGCCTATGTGCTTCTGTGAGATGATATTCCTGAAAGTGTTTGCATGACATACAGCCTGTGTTCAAAGCTGGTGGATGGAGACACATCACCTGGTGCAGCAGGGCTTAGTCTTGACTCTGTGGATACACTACAGGGATAACTGAATTCCTCGGCACTAAATGAGCAAGTTTGAATGTGAGATTCATATGTGAGATTCTTTCTGGAAAGTTCCCATCAAATTCTTTGAAATGTTCTTAAAAGTATACAGGATGTAGTTCGTACTCCTTAGCCTCCTGGGTACGATCTTAGTTCCCCTGCCTGGCCCTGTTTCCTGCTTTTCTATTCAAAGAACCTTCTTCCCTGCTGCAGCTAATCTGTTGCCTCTCACAAGTCACACATTCTGTTTGCATCAGTTCTTTTTCCAGATTATTGTTTCACCTGGGATCTATGTTCTCATTCATGGTAGACAAAGTACCTGCCCTTCCTAGGACATGGTCCAAGTCCTATTTCTTCAGAGAATCAAAGTCTTTATGGACACTTTGATTAAACAGACCCATTCCTTAAAATTTTTTTTTTAGTTACATTCACCTGAAGAAAATACTAAATATGTGAAATAATTATGATTCACTAAATAAGGACAGTGGCACATATGATAGTAACAAAAAAACAATAGAAGATGCAAAGTTTAATGGCTGTAATGTTAAGATTTTCTAGGTGACAAGTAGCAAGAGGAATAGGATAGATGTTGTGCTTGACCAAGGGGAGCCAACAACCGTGTTTGAGTAAAGCGTGAACGATAGCCTTAGTTTGGAACAGTGAACCTAGAAGCTGTACCATGAATCAATCCAAGAAAAGTTCTGAGATCCGGAAAGCATCATGATGTCCCCCAATGATCATGAAATGGAGACTCCAAGGATTCAAATACTCTGTACACAGGAAAGTACCCATCCAAAGGCTCCGTTGAGCTAGAAAATAGAAAAAAATGAAATGAGAGAAGGGATGTTGGGGTGGAAGAGGTACAGATGTAGAAGACTTTAGGCCCCTAGACTAGAAAGCTTTGTAGGTTATGGGTAAGGCCATCGAGGGGAAGATACATAGATGTGTATATTTAAATATATTGAAAGTATGAAATATAGTACCATCAAAAGTTCCACCTAGGTGAAATTTGGGGACTTTAGATACAGAGTTGAGAGAAATTTACATAAAGACAGTGATAGAAAATGGGGCTGGGGGTGGGGGTTAAGACACACAGTATTTCTGTTCAGTTACCATCTCGATGTCCATGGCCTGAAAATATGTTCCTCTAGTTCCATTCTCTCTCTGAAATAGAAATGAATCTTCAGTTACTCACTAGGCCTCAGTATCTAACTGCACCCCGCAGTCAGCCCCCTTCCCAGAATTCCCTCTGCTACTGTGGCAACACCATCTTTTTTATCCTTTAGGTTTCTCTGACATTTTGTTTTCCCACTGTTCACCACTGTTCATCACAATTGCAGTGTGTCTAAATATTTTCTTTCTGTTCAACTGCCCATTCCTCGCCGTGTTCTTTTCTAGAACTTTCTAGAAGAGTTATAATATCTACTCATCATTCTCCCAACTTCTCACCTCCTTCCACCGTACTCATTCTACTACTTATAATTAAATGAAAAAAAAATCTATTTTTTGCCCAGCAAGGCTAGTTTACTACTACTCAATAGGCTACTTGATTCATATGGATTTTTATCATTGTTATTAGTCTTTGTAGTTTCAAAGTTAAAAGTATACATTTAAGAGAAAGAAGCTTACTTCACTGTTTTTATTTATCTCCTTATTCCTTTTCTTCCCCATTCAGTGCGGGAATTGGGAGAACCGGGTGTTTCATCGCTACATCCATTGGCTGTCAACAGTTGAAAGAAGAAGGAGTTGTAGACGCACTAAGTATTGTCTGCCAGCTCCGTGTAGACAGGTACGTGGACCGGGGATGGCAGCGTAGAGACCATGTGTCTGAGTAGAGCTGACTCAGACACATGGTCTCTTCACTCCACAACTTCACCTAATCAAGATCACTTTATAAACACGACAGCTCTATGATCCTAGATCTCCATACTAAAGAACATGCATTGTGTACTGGTTCCACCTGTTGTCTATCACGAACAATTATGCTACAAACACGGGGATGTACGTATTTATTTTAGACTCCATTTTCAATTCTTTGAAGTGTTACTAGATCCCATGTTAATCTTGCTTATAATTCCCAAGCAGGCAATATACAGTTTTCTACAAGAATTCCAGTTTTTTCCATATCCCAGCACTTTGCTTTCATTTTTTAAAAATGCAGCAGCCATCCAAAGTGTCTAAGGGGGATGATTACCCTTGCTATGATCAATGCCAAGCTTGAAAGCAACAAGAGGAGAAACTTCTTGCCCACAGCCGAGCATGCACGGTGAATGGAGGATTGGGGCAGTGATAGAGATCAAAAGCAAATGCCTCTTAAGAATGGCATGGGGGGAGGGCGAGCAGCAAGCCCTCATTGGTCACGGCAGTGCTCTGCCTCGAAGAAGTACAGGGCTCTCTCCTTTCATCCAAGTAATCAGATACCTAGGGTTGTTCCAGATATTCAACATGCAAATACAGCCTTAAACAATGAATGAGGCTTCTTGCTCTCCTCCTGAGAGTTTATAGAGAGAAAAAAAAGCAAAGACATAAGCAAGGTGTCGTGAGTCAGAAGTGAGCGCTAGGAAATGGCAGAACAAAGGAGGGTGGGACATGAGTCCCTTGGACTTCAGCCCCATGACCCAGTGTCCCCTAAAGGGAAACCTGTGCATTTATAGTCATCATTAAAGGTATTCTCGATGGTCAGGTGTTAGGATTCACAACTATAATCCCAGTACATTGGAGGATGAGGCAAGAAGATTGCTGAGAATGGGCTAGCCTGGACTAAATTAGTGATTACAAGGGCAGCCAGAATGGCATACCAAGACCCTATGTAAAAACTAACACACAGAGAGAGGAAAGAAAGAAAGAAAGAAAGAAAGAAAGAAAGAAAGAAAGAAAGAAAGAAAGA